ATACTTTCTATCACTTAAACTTTTAGTAGAAAAATAAGCAAGTTGATAGCAGTCTATTTGAGGCCTTTCATTATTCCTGACTGTAGAGCTTTAAAAATTAACCCTACCAATTAACTAGAAAATCATCAGAAGGAATTTTACTAGGCTTCTTTCTAGGACCTGAAGATGAAGATTAAACAGCAATGGAGACTCCAACATAAATCATTATTAAGTCTACTGTGCTTGATTGTTACAGCTGTGGTCCAAGGGTCTACTGGTGGAAATTGCAGCCCTGAAGCAGATCTTGGTAAATTTGCTTGACTACATTCTTTAGGTAGTTGTCCTCCAGTGGCACTTTAGATAGAAGGGCAGAAATTTCATCATGGCTGGAAAGAACAAAAGGTTAATTAATTTTTCTGGAAACTTACACTTATCGCCATTTCAGTGGAACTCGTGTTTTGTTTTGTTTTGTTTTGTATAGTCTCTGAGTCTCCCAGGAAGCACAAATAGGCATTTCTGGAAGTAATTAAACTATTCAGTTGGAAATGAGAGTCTGAAAACAAAGCCTAAGAACCAATTTTACATGCAATTATGAGTTATCTTGGCCTAGCTGCTTTCTCAGGCTATAAAAATCTAAACTGTTGGACTGTTGGTATTTGCTGATGGATTTTAGGTGCGCACATTCTAAATTCTGCCATTTTACAATCTGTCAGCAATGTGTCTAAAAACTCACACAATATATAGTAGGAATTAAATATTTTTAGGTCTTGTTCTATAGGCTAATTGAGAAAAGCATTATGACTGCACAGCTTTTTAAATGATTATTCTGTTTTAAGAGCATAAAAGGTGTTCATATATGACCTGGGCTACCCTTATGCAGGATTTTTTCCTTAATTCCTATTTTAGGTAAGAGGACTAAAAAAGTGGATCCAGTATGAAAAAACAGACCAGTGTCTCCAGCAGCCTCTGGACATAACAGTGAATGTCACTGATCTTAAAAGAACAAATTCCTCAAAATGAAGTCAGAGATAAGTAACATTTGACTCTCATTATGGTCTGTCATTTGCTGACCACTTTGAAGGATCTTTCAAATAATATAACCGAGGTAAAACAGTAATTGGAAGTGCTATCCTGCTGGTCCTTCACTCACCTGATGTTTCCAAGGTGATTTTTAATGGAGAAAGGTAATAGAACAGATGGATAATATGCTGAGAGAGACAACATTATCTCAAACTTTGCAAATGCTGCAGAGCTGGAGAATAAAAGCCTCAATCTGTAAAAGACAAAATCCTCAATTAAAATACAAAACAAAACCAGAATAAAACACAAATATACTTTCCTTTTACAATGGCATGTGAAACTTAGGTGTACATTATTTTTCCTTTTTTAAAAATATGTTTTTATAGATCTTGAGAGAGAGGAAGGGAGAGGGAGAAAGAAACATCAATATGAGAACAGCTACCTCCTGCATGCCCCCCTACTGGGGATCAAAACCACAACCTGGGCATGTGCCTTGACCAGGAACCAAACAGGTGACCTCTAGGTACATGGGACGATGCTTAACCAAGTGAGCCACACTGGCAGGGCAGGTGTACATTATTTTTTGTCCTTATCAGATAGACAGAAGGTATAACATCTGGAACAAAATATTATTATGGTTGGCTTTTCATTACTAGTTATGAAGCTCAAAATATTTTTAAAAGTTTTCTACTACTTACTTTTATGATTGAACTGTGCCCTCCCCCCAATTCATATGTTGAAGCCTTAACCCCAGTGCACCTCAGCATATGGCCTTATTTAGAAATAAGGTCATTGCAGTTAAGATGAGGTCTACTGAAGTATGGAGAGTTCCTAATCCAAAATTACTGGTATCCTTATAAACAGGGGACATTTGAACACAAACGTACACACAGGAAGAACATCATGTGAAGATGAACACAGATGGTGGGGTTACATATTTACAAGCCAAGGAATGCCAAATATTGCCAGCAAATCACCAGAAGTTAGGAGAGAGGCATAAAACAGATTCTCTTTCACAGCGCTCAAAAGGAACCAACCATGCTGACCCCTTGCTCTCAGACTTCCAGCCTCCAGAACTGTGAGATAATAAATTTCTGTTGTTTAAGCTACCCAGTTTGTAGTACACTTGTATGGCAGCCCTAGAGAACTATACTTACTCAGTATTATTTACATCTATATTCATTAGGTTATAATTTGGTCCCCATCTCTTTAAAAACTCAATTTCCTCTCCAAGGAGTCTGCAATGGCTTACTACCAGTGAGATTTCTTGAAGCATCTAGGAAAAACAAAAGAAAAAAAAATTATAAAAACATTTCAGTGTTTAGTGGCTCTTTAATAAAGAATCCCCCAAAGTTAAATGATTTAATATATTTATCATTTCATGATACACTATTACACAAATAAAATTTTAGTTTTGCTTTTTGGGACAGATAACATAATTTGCCTTTATATACTTCAATTAGAATTTACCTTGGATACCTGATGCTGTGTTGTACATTTCTTCTTCCAGGATTCCTGTTCCTCAATATACTGAAAAATAAGCTTATGAACTAAAAGGGAGGAAGGAGGAGCTTTATCCTCTGGGGAAGGAAGAAAATAAACCAAAAGCAGGGTATTAATTATTCAAATATTTTATATAAATATATAAGCTAGAAAAAAGAAAATATATAAACTGGAAATATTATACAAACTAAAAATACCTTCAAACTACTAGGTGTCTAAATATCTTTATTTTCAAACACATGAATCAGAATATATAATTTACATAAGACATTCTTATAAAAATAGAAATTTTTATCACATACAGAATAAAACTTGGTTAAGAGCATAGGTTTAAATGTAACATAAACCTGTGTTTAAATCCTGTCTTTCCTTACTACCTGAATGATCCTAAGCACAACACATTTCTTTTGAGCTGTAGGTTCCTAATTTGTAAAATGGGGAATAATACCTTCCTCATAGTGTTGATGTAAGTAATACACATGCCTAATAGAGAACAAATACTCACAATGGTAATTTTTAGATTATGGAATTAGCTATTATTAATTACTGTTCAAGGGTTAGTCATAATAATAAAAAATAATTTCTTTTAAAACCTACCCAATATTTGGAACATTATCCTAGCAGTCTATTTCTACTACACATTTCTAAAGACAAATTATTATTATTAGTGTTTATATTTAACTTAGTATGTGAGAATTCTCAAGGAGCAATTCACACTTGTAAATTTCCAAAACATTTTTAATGGCTTAAATGCTTTGAACTTACCATCTAACAGAGACTGAAAATTCAGGTCAACAATCCTCCTATTAGCCTTGTTCATGAAAGGGAGACCAACTAGGAAGAATCAGAATAAGGACAGTATTTCTTTTCATTATCTGATTGTAAACTATATACAACTCAAGTACTTCAGAGTCCTACTCTTTCTGGGTAGCAGGACATTTTCATAGGCAGTTGAAGATATATACTTGAATCATATTATTCTCTCTATATGGTAAAGGCTCCCCTGGACTGCTGAACTATACTGATTGGCAGGCCTTTGAAAGAAACTTAAGCTGTAACCGGTTTGGCTCAGTGGATAGAGTGTCGGCCTGCGGACTCAAGGGTCCCAGGTTTGATTCCTGTCAAGGGCATGTACCTTGGTTGCGGGCACATCCCCAGTGGAGGGTGTGCAGGAGGCAGCTGATCGATGTTTCTCTCTCATTGATGTTTCTAACTCTCTGTCCCTCTTCCTTCCTCTCTGTAAAAAATCAATAAAATATATTTTTTAAAAAAGAAAGAAACTTAGGTAATATATTTATAATATATTAAGGCCTCCTCCTTTGCTCCTTAACTGGTGTGCAAAGATATTTTCAGGAACCATATAAAGAGGTTGTGACCTCCCTCACCTACTATCTTTGCCCAAATACAGTAAAAATCATTTATGTTTTTAGTATTACAGTAATGAGTTTTAGGTAACCAGAATAGTTGCTTGCTTCGCCAGATTCTAGAGTTATCTCCCATCTCTCAAATTCTGATTCTTTTTACTTTGGATACAATCATGAGGCAAATAGACACAATCAATCTATACTCTTAGGAAGCTTACAGTTCAGGGGAACACACAGATAACTGCAGTAATAAACATACCAAGAACTACAAACTGTAATAAAAATTATCAAGGAAAACTGCAGGAAGCAATGAGAACATGTAACAGGAGGGCAAGTAGCAGAGGGAATAGGTAGAATAGATAAAACTTTCCTGAGAAAGTGATAATTAAGCTGTGCTTATAAGAATTATTAGAAACTTATGTAGTGAAGAGGGGATGCTATCTAAACATTTGTGTTTCCTCCAAATTCGTATGTTGAAATCCTAATGTCCAATGTGATGGTATAAGGAAGTGGGACCTTTGGGAGGTGCGTAGGTCATATGGGTAGAAACCTCTTATAAAAGAGATCCTAGAGAGCTAGGTTGGCCTTTTGTCATGTGAGGATACAATCAGAAGCATGCAACCTGGAATAGGGCCCTCACCTGGCCATGCTGGCTTCCTAATCTCAGATTTCCAGCTTCCAGAACTGTAATAAATATCTGTTGCCTAAAAGCTTCTCAGTTTATGGTATTTTTATTATAGCGGCCCAAATGGACTAAGACAGGTAAAGAGCTCCCAGGAATAAAAAACATCAGTATGTAGGTGCTGAAGTAAAATAGAATATGACTGAGAATAAAAAACCATGATCTGTCAAAGCAGGGGTGGGGAACATCTGGCCCATGGGCCATATAAGGCCTGTGAAATCATTTGGTCTGACCCTACCAGGCTTTAGGGGCGAGTTAATTAAATGTTTGACCAAATATGAGAAGGCTAATTTTTAAGTTGATAATTGTGTATGGTGAATGATGTTATAAATATCCAATTGACCCTTGGCAGAAAAAAGTTTCCCCACCCCTGTTTTAAGGAAATAAAAGAAATTCATTGTGCCTGACATAAATATAACAATGTAAGAAGAGGCAGGAAAAGGAGGAAAAAAGAGCTTTACAGGTTATATTAAATATTTTGGTCATTAGTCTAAGAGTAGTAGGTGCATGATCAGATTTCCAACAATCATTATAGCTACAGAAGGAGAATGAATTGGAGAGGAAAAAGGGAAGATCCAGAAAGACCATCTAGGTTAGAGATGACTATGGAGAGAAGAGGCAAAAAAAAAGTGGATTAATATTAAGTTAAAATCAGTCTTATTAATGATTTAAATATACCTGGTAAGGGAGAAAGAGATATAGAGTGATTCCTAAGTTTTAATTTTGTACCTGAATGGAAGTTGATGCTATTCACTGAGAAAAGGAACTTTTCAAGAGAGACATGTTTAGAGGCTGGAAGAATATAAAGATCCTTAATTCCAATTTGGCCATGTTTACCCATGGTTGGCTATGATGAAATTAACTGTTTCAAGAGAAAAGGCCTAAAGATACTAACAGACAAATCCAACAAAACAGCTAGTACTCTCTCCGGTCACCATATAGTGATGTCTACCTACTCTGATGAGCCCACCAATATATACGGGACTTCCAATTAACTTTTAGATTAACTGAAGTACAAAAATATAGTCAAGAGTCACCAGCTATTAGAGTAAATTCTCTATCACAAAAGACACAGAAGAAAGGAACTCATAGTAAATAGATTTGAATAGCATATTGATCAATATTTGGATAGGCAAAATTTCTACTGTACAAAGGGCACTTTCATTAGCTGAATTTTTAGAATATATATCTTTTTACTGATTTCAGAGAAGAAGGGAAGTGGATATAGAGAGGAAAACATTGATGAGAGAGGCTGCCTCCTGCCCACCCCCTACTAGGGAGCAAGCACACAGCCCAGGCATGTGCCCCGACTAGGAATCGAACGTTGACCTGGTTCATAGTCCGATACTCAACCACTGAGCCACACCAGCCAGGCTGAATTTTTATTTTACTCTTTATCTAATAAAATAAAAATAAAATTCTATTCTCACTAATTGAGGTGACCACCTATTCTAAGAGTTTCAGTAGTGCTTTAATGTTAATAGTTATTATATTAAAATAAAGATTTGAGTTTAGCCATAAAGTTTTCTGCAGAATTATCTTACTTTTGCTACTCACCTACTGGCTCTCCAAAAGTGATGGTGAGTTCTACTGTGTCATAAAGAAAGGTGAATACAGCTTGATCATCACTCCACTCAATGACATCCCATTCAGACAAGCTGGAGAGATAAACAAGTCAAAAAAATTCGTTTTTGAGATAAAAGAAGAGAGTTAACTTCAGAAACCACCCAAAAAGTACCAGCAGCAGCTGCTAGTTTTTGACTGGATTGGGAGACAACTTACTTATTTATTAAATATGTTTTTATTGCCTGGCCAGCATGGCTTAGTAGCTGAGTGTCAACATATGAACCAGAAGGTCACAGTTCAAATCTTAGTCAGGGCATATGCTCAAGTTGCAGGCTCTACCCCCAGTGTGGGGCATGCAGGAGGCAGCCAACGACACCACTTGAAACCGGTGAATAGAGAAAATTTTGGCCTGTTAGGGAGAATGCTATCATGGTTAACAGAAACAGTCTGAGAGTGAGGGAAGAGAAAGGTCAGTGGTGGACCTGTTTGAGGTAATGGAACTGTCCAAGAGGTAGGTGGAAATTAGGGAATGGCATTTAAGATTGAGGTTAGAGCTAGAGATATAAATGTTGGAATTAAATTAGAAGTGAGGCATGTTGTAGTGGGAACACTTTTGGACCTGCCTGAGACCTAGATGCTAATTCAGACTCTGTCTGCTACAAACTGGAAATACATGGTTGTCCTTCTTGGGCCATTTCTTATAACATTTAAAAAATATATGTTTTTATTGATTTCAGAGAAGGAGAGGTAGAGATAGAAACATCAATGGTGAGAGAGAATCATTGATTGGCTACCTCCTGCACACCCCCCTACTGGGGACTGAGCACACAATCCAGGCATGTGCCCTGACCAGGAATTGAACCATGACTTCCTGGTTCATAGGTTGATGCTCAACCCACTGAGCCATGCCGGCAGGGCAGGAGATGACATTTTAATTCAAATACTGTGAATGTACAAAGATGCTTTAGAAAGAAATAAGCAATATTTTAAAATTTTAATTCCACAGCTCTCTCATATTGTATATGTTCTTTCTTTGTTTTGTTTTTTTAATTTTATCTTTATTGCTGAGGAGATTAAAAATGGCAGTAGAGTAAGTGGATGCTGCACCAACATGCTCCCAGAACCAAATTGAAATTGTAACTAAAATACAGAAAAACTTCCTGAAGAATAATTGAAGACTTGCTGGAGAGAACCCTGATAACTGAGGATGGAAAGTGAAGACCACATAGAGACTGGTAGGAGGGGTGGAGGCGCAAAAGGGCTGGCCAGGCTCCAACAAACAGCAACTAAAGTTCTGGAGAAATATCTCAGCTGGGGGGTTTGCCATTGAGAATTCTGGAGTCTAATCCCAAAGCAGGGCTGCCTAGCAAAGAGCACCAGAACTGAGAAAGGTCCCCACCTATTTTTATTATTGAAAGTATTACAGATGTCGCTCTTTTTTTTCTCACCTTGTATACTTTCAACTTAGTATTGAGTACATTAACTGTTTTTGAGGCTAAATTGGTTAAAAACAGTGATACATACTACAAACACAGGTCAAATGCTCTATCTAGTAGATTTAGACAACCACAAAGGCACAGGATAAAATGCAAACTAATGACACTAGTTTTTCCTTACCTCAACTGATCCAGCAGCTCTTCAGTTGTATTTGTTTGTTTTTGCATGAAGTCTATTTGAGCAAGGGTCTGCTCTTTCTGTACCTCTAGTTCTGAGAGATTTCTGCAAAAAAAGTATTCACAGAAAGGTAAGTCCATTGTTAGAGAATTCATACTCTATTAAAATAAAAGGTTTATGACAAGAAGTTACATGCTAGATGGCTCCCCAAAGAGGTGAATGGCATCCATTTTTGCATTCTCAAATAAGTTTTTAGAAAGAGCATTAATCTAGAAACATAGGTCTATTTAGGAAAGGCCTAAATCAATGGCTCTCAAATTAGAATCCATAAAGATACCCTTAGGGTTTCTCATGTTCTTTGAGATTATTAAAATTTGCATTTTCATTTTTATAATAAAATATAAGCATAATGCAGATTATGAGATTGCCTACCTTAAAACTGAGACATACCATAATTTCAGTGCCTTCATTTGGTTTAATTTAGTTTATTAGATCTAAATAGAACTGATGCTTTATTAGTAATTTTGTTAGCATCAATTTAATTTCACCCAAACAATATCACCTGTCAAATTAATGTTACCAACTGTAATTTTACTGGTTTTGTCATTATTTATATTTGATCTTAAGTCTTTTAGTTAAATAAAATTCATGAGTATAAGAAATATACACCTCTTTTTATACTTACTAATACTTAAGTATACTATAAAAATAGTTTAATGCTAGGTTTATTTCCTTTAAAAGGATCCTGAGCCCTGGCCAATGTCGCTCAGTTGGTAGGAGTGTTGTCCCGTACACCAAAAGGTCTTGGGTTCAATTGCCAGTCAGGGCACATACCTGGATTTCGGGTTCAATCCCTGGCCCCAGTCGGGGCTCATGTGGGAGGCAAGCAATCAATCTTTTTCTCTCATATCAATGTCTCTCCCCCACCTCCCACCTTCCTGTCTCTCTAAAAATCAATGAAAAAATATCCTCGGATGAGGATTAAAACAAAAAAAAGATCCTGTTATTATTCAAACTTGGGAAATACTGCCTTGAAGTAATGCCCTGTCAACAATACTGCTTAGAAACTATTGACAACCCCAGGGTGAAGGTCAAAGCCCCGAGTCAGCCTTAGTCAATAATCATGTTCCCAATCTTATCAGGGTAGAAAGTCATTTACCCTAATGAAGTTTCGCATATTTTTTAACACTCAAGAAGGCTGACCTTTGAAGCTTTTCTTCTTCTGTTTTCAGCTGTTCCAGTTCTTTGAAAAGAAAAATAAAAACAAATCTATCAGAGTAGACAC